GATCGAACGATTTAATAAAGGCTACAAAGTTTGGCTATACAATGCATCAAGACAAAAGTGGCGTTGCCCGAAACTACTACAGACCTGGTATTATCCATACAACGTTATTCGACGCATCAACTCCAGATCTCCCTGAAGATTACACTATTACGAAATACTTCGCGCCCGGCCACACATCCCCACGCACGCACACACGCACGCACGCACGCACGTGGTCCTAGAAAGGCCGGAAGTACGGAGGTTGAGGGGTTTTAGTCGTTTGGACGGCTGGGTGTCTTTTGAAGATTTCCCCTCTTCCACGGCAACATAAAAAAAATCGGAAGAGTGAGTTAGTACGAGTACGAGGCGATGCAAAGCGAAGCAGAATGAGTGAAGAAGGGACAAAGTGTGCGATACTGCAGTTAATTGATAATTAATAACAGTAGTGATAATTAGAAAGTAAATAATTAAATAAAAGTAATAATGCAAGGTGTCTGATGACGTGACGATTTTAATTATGGGTATTGCAACTGTTAGTCTAATATCAAATTTGACAAATCACCCATTTTCTTTAATCAACTTATTGGCTGCTTCTGCTACGCGATATGTTCTTTTATAATTTTCGTTGTTCGTAAAAAGGACCTTTACCTCTAATTTTACTTTCAATCATCATATGAGGTAATAGAGTATGTAACTCATTTAATAGCCCCAGACATAAATAGGTACACACCATATCTTTCACTGCAAATAATGATTCTATGGAGGGTAGAGTGTGTTTCACACCCAATTCCATATCATTATGATACGACCCCGCCCTTTAGGCATACTATCCACGAGTTTTGACAATCACTATTTGAAAAATTATCCCAGATATCTTGATGTTTAACGACGAAATCGGTAGCTGTTCTTTGTGTGGTTTCTTTTCATCTTATGCAATACTGTTTCAATAACATTTAGGTCTCGACTACTTGAAGGCCAGTCTAAAACTATTACACCATGGTCTTTAAACCATTTTTCTTTTTTTAGAATTTAGTCATATGGCATGATGATGTCCCATTTTGCTGAAAAATAAAACCTCTATCAGGACGCAACTTTCTTATGCTTGGCAGCAGGCTTTCACTCAGTGTTTGCTGATATTTCTTGGCATTTACTATTCTCTCGACAAATTTTAAAGTTCCTAATCCTTTAGAGAACATGCATCCTCACACCATTACGCTTTCTTCAATCTTGCTTGCTGATTCCATTGAGCAGTTATCTTTCTCAAGCTGAAATGCCGCGATTTTTTACAGAGTTTCACTAAAAGTCTTCGCCCAGAGCTTTTGCCAGCAATCTTAATAGGTAGTGCCTATTTCACCAAAGTGTCTTATGATTCCTTCAACAGTTGTAACAAGTCTAACAAGTTTAGGTCGTGAATACTTTAATAACAGAAATGAAAACCCAAATTTATTATTTTATTAATAAACACAGATTTTCCAAAAAAAAGTACATTCAAAATCCCAATAAAAATAAAATCAAAGAAATAGAAACTCAAAACCAAAATAAAATTTAAAAAAACACAAAGAATACGAAAATTAAAAAATGAGTATACCCTTACGTTATATCATAAAGTCTAGGAGCCCCTATCCGAAGACGAAATGAAATCGGGTGGAGAAATTATTCCCACACTTCACAAATGTATAATTAATTAAGGAATTTTGCACTTGCTGGCAATCCACGACCCATATTGATGACCTTATTTTATAAATATAAATAATGAATAGTTTCACTCAACAAAACACGCACAAGGCACAACTGACCTTTTCTGTACAACATAGCCTTTTATGTACCAGCATCTTCACAGACTATTGTCATATTTGAAGTCTTTTAAAAATTCATTTTCTTTAGATCAGTCAAATTTATATTTTCTTTAATAACATCGTCTAATTGACGACCGAAGTCTTTAACTATTATGCACATCAGCAAAAACCAACAAATGGAAAAGGATTGTAGGTGTGTAAAATGCAGTGAATCAAATAAAGGTGAAACTGATATGCAATGGCCGAAAGAAAATAATTAATGGTCAATAACTGATGTAATGAATAAATTACTCGAAATTGATGTGAAATATTCGAGTCTAATGAAAAAGTATAAAACACAAATGAAAATAAACAAGGACCTAAAAGATGAAGTGGATAACCTCAAAAAAAACTGAATAATGAAATAAATCTATGGGAACAAGACAAGATAAATAATAATGTTATAATAAAAGGTGTTCCGGAAATGGAAGGAACAGATAGATTGGAAACGATTATAAATAAATTAGGTAAAATATAAGAAACAGAAATAACATACAAAAAAGTATATCGATTAGGAAAGGATGATAGATTCCCAGCCCCAATAAAAATATGCTTTCATAACAAACAATAAAAGGAGCGATTTCTTCAGGCTAAAAGACGAAGAAAATAACACTAAATGACCTAGGGGTACAGCAATTGGTTAATGATAATAAACTCATCTTCATTGACCATGAACTAACAAAAAAGAAATCAAGTATTATTTAAAGAATATCTAGCTTTCAAAAAAGAACATAGGTTTAAATTCCTTTGGGTGAAAAATGGCAAAATGACATTAAATATAATGTATAAAACAGAATTTACAAGTAAAATCCTAAATTTCCCATTGACAAACGATATACTCATTTGAAAATCGAATATAAGCGATTAATGAAACAAAACTAAGCTGTACGTACAAAAGGACATTAAATATACATCACGGTTTACAACTGACATTCAAAAATTAATAAGAGAAAGAGATAAATTGTATAAAAATATTACACTTCAGTTAACTGGAAGGCATGATGTGAAAAAGAATTCAAATTGATTAAAAATAAAATATTACAAGAAATAAGGAAAAAGAAATCGAGATACTTTTCTAGCAGATGGAGCAAAGCAGCTAACAACCCCAAAAAATAGTGGCAAGTTGTAAACACTATACTAAACAATAAAACACCTAATAAAAAAATCACATCAATAATAAAAAACGTCACTGTCATCACTGACCCGAAAGAAATATCAAGGAAGCATAATCAATACTTCACACGTGTTAGCAAGTCAATTATAGCAGAAATTGGGGAAACAAAGTAGCGAACGAATAAATCAAGTTAAAAAATTCGGCGGTGGGAATAGATAATGTATCAGTCGATGACATCAAGCTTATTAATTCGATCCTAAATTAGGTATTTTTCTTAATATATTTAAAAATTTAAAGTTGTACCAATCTTTAAAAATAGCGACCCAAATTGTGTTAAAAATTACAGGCCGATTGCAATTGCATCAGTGTTCTTAAAAATTTAGGAGCATGTCCTAAGAAACACAATTATCCACTTCATTGGTGAAACAAAAATTACAGACAACTACGAATATGATTTCATAAAAAACAGAACACAAAATGTGCAACGATAGATTTTTTGAGCTACATTAATTCGAACTTGGACAAAGGCTCAATAGTGATTGTAGTTTTTGTTGACTGACAAGAAGCATTTGATATTGTTGGCCACATAATTCTGCTAAATAAACTCTCCCGTATGAGTTTGTGTAGTAAAATAAACACACTCATAAGGTATTATCTAGAAAACAGATCACAAGTGGTAATAATCAATGACATAAATAGTAGTAATCTAGCTATAATTGTGGAGTTCTCCAGGGGTCACTACTTGGCCCTCTCTAATACTCATTATTAGTATCTTCACTTAAAGCTGAATTTAGAAGTCGCCACTTTACCTTTGCTGATGATAAAGCATTCCTCTATGAGGGTCTTGACACTAACCGATTAAATCACCTTGTTAGCAACGATTAGCTGACAGTGACATGAGCATTAACATAAATAATAAAAATATTAAAAAGTGGAGTACAGAAAATATTTGGGTCTTATGATTTGATTGGTGAGAAATTAACATGGGAAAAACATCATGAAAAGCCTTACTCTTCATTAGGTAATCTACAGATGCTAAATGTATTTAAGTGTAGGTAACAGTTACCAAATTTATAATTCCTATATCCTATCTAATATACTATACCCCATAAACATTTGGGGTAATTCTAGTGTAACCAATTTAAAAAAGATACATTTCAAAATAAAGCAGTGAAGATACTATTAAAAGAGGAGTATCAATACGGAGGAACTATACAATAAATACTGATTGAATACAGTAAAACAGCTATTACAAGTGGAGAGTTGCGAATGTATTTTAAGTTCTAGAAGGGAAATTAAAGTGTAATAACTTTCCATTTAAAAATGAAGATGTTCATAATCATCTACTTAGAAGTACAAGTAATATCCATGTGTCATCATGTCGTACTAATAAGCAACCGAATAATCCGCTACCATCCGCAATCGGAATTTATAACTCGTTACCACCTAAGCATTAAATAATGAATTTAGATTTAGGTAATCAATCTTGTCATTCATAGCAAAATTGCTATATTTATAGGATTATTATTATTATTATTATACTACAGCGTCTTATACCCTGTATGCTCCCGATACCAGTGAAATATCACTGCTTGGGAAGGTTATTGAATAAATAATAAAATTCCGATATAAAATGTCCATGTCTTATTATTTATCTTTCTGTATTGTACAATTAATATGTTCATAAAATGAAATATAACTCCAACACTTTAATTGTTGATACCCTATTCAATAAAATTCAAAGTAAAAAGGAGAACGTTTAAATGATATAGCTGCAGACTTTTTAACATTCAGTATCGCTAAATTGTTTTGACTCCATTCATTATAAATCGTCCAACGCTACTGCAGTCTAAGGAATGTTTAGGCGTAATACAATGGTTAACTATTGCACTAGAGACTAGAATTATTTTTGTTTTTTTAATGCGGCCTCGTGCAACTTTATCAAAGCCCAAAATTAATTGAATGAAACTTTGTATTTTATTATTCTACTAGATTGAAATTTGCTATTAAAAAAAAGTAAGTATTGAAAAATTTTAAATACCTATATATTTTTAGTAAGAAATAGAAATTACCACTAAATTTAACTGTTCTCCCAATAGTGGCTTCAATTCTTGCAGATCATGGTCGGCTTTATTCCAATCTCCATCCATGACGTGCTGCCGAAATTTCGCTGCAGACGGATGATCTAAACGACATCCTGATTCATCCATCAAGGATTCGGCGGTACGACTAAAAATATAGCATGTATTAGCCTTATAATTACATTCTGTCACTGGAATATGGATCCTAAGTAGTAATAATTTAATAGTGTTTTTAAGTTCTTCAATAATTAGTGTAAATAAATAATTTTTGTCGTTATCAGTATTTGACATAAACAATCAGAAGTTTCGTGGCGGGTTAAAGTCAGTAACAAATAAGTTTACCTTAAGATACGTTTCCGCTATAGTAACTGATCTTTTCAGTTGGCTTTGCTGAAATGGGCCAGCTAAATAAAGCCAAATTGGGTGAATAAACAACGTTAACATTCCAGATATCGAAAGTAGACCTATACAACACTTCTTTCTTTTGTTACAATGGCTTAATAGTTGGAGAGTTGTTAACGCCTAATGTCAGTTTATTCGTAATAACTTTTTAGGCGAGCACCAAAAGCATAAAGTATTGTATTAAGAGTTTCGACCGTAACATAACTAACAAGGTTGCGTTTCAATGTCTTAGTAAAAGACTAATATCTCTAACAGTTTTCCAGAAAAAATCGATTATTTTATATTCGAAACCTTGTATCAGTAGGAAAGGCTTAATTTCGCATCCAACGGTATCATTTAATATGAGTCATTCCATTTGAAAAAAAAACCGTTATTCGCCTTGTAAGATTGTCAAAAGTAGATTTCGATATTTCCGGCACTGAATTACGTACAAATTTTGTCCACAAAAAACGATACAGTAAGTCGTGTAAAAACAAACTGTCCAAATTGCAGCTTTTACTGAACTGAACTCGTGTTTTTTTAACAGTTGAATATCTCAAAAACTACTAGATAGGTACAGAGAAGTGTTAATAAAGTCGACCTAAAATTAAACAAACAAACCAAAAATGTAACAAAATATACAGGGTGTTCCATTTAAAATAACGAAGTTAGCTTGCGTTCAGAACAAATTGAGCACTTGGTACGATTTAAAATATTTTCTGTATATGCACCATATGATTCCAAACCACTTTTATAAACTCATTTTGTTGTTTAAATGTATAACAGTTATGAATGAAACCGCCTTAGATGAAACATCCTGTATATACACGTATTTACCCATAAATAATTCAACTAATAAAATTTAAAAAATTAAATTTAAGTAGTTCTTCCCCCTTATCAGTTACGGTGAGCTCGAAGCACAATTGCTTCGAGTAGTCGAAATTCACTTTTGTGAACAATTAGTTTAATCACTTAGTGTTCAACATTGTTTGAAAAATATTTAAAGGAATTGTATGTAAATAAGTATGCAACACATCGTATACTTAAGCATAAGAAACTGCTGATACTAAGTACGTAANATTAATAGACTGGAACACCGCTATGAGAAATGTATCAGCCTTGGAGGAGATTATGTTGAGAAATAAAAAAAAAAAATTTTTAAAAACCTTGTTTTTCTTGGTCAGGCCGGAAACTTATCAATCCACCCTCGTATATTAAAATTAAAATTTTAATCAGAATCCAATCTGCAGCCACATAATAAATATATTTACAGCTATTATCTCCAGCAAAATAGAAGCTAAAAATCCAAAATTAAAATAGTTGTGAATTTTGGAAGAAATTATTTTTCCGTTTCTTGCATTTTTTTTTTTTGATCAAGCAAGCAAGAATCAAGTTCGCTTGCTGCCCATATTGAAGATACATCAATTTTCTACAACTTTCGTTTTGTAGTCGATCCAAATTAATTCTTAGTTTTCAACGTAGATCAAAAAAACGAAATTTTTTGTATTTTCTGCTGTTTTTCTTCGCTATTTAGTTTTAATGAGTGAGTGCTATAATTTAATACATTTTGTTTCCTGGAACGTTTCCTACAATCCTGCACAATTCATTTTCTGTTATTAATTATAGCAAAATTACTACTTTTCCAGTTTTAATGCTTTATTTGACATTTTCGCCCAATCATAGATACTGATACACGCTCAACCAAAGCAGATAATTCGTTTACTATACCACTCAGTACATCACGGCATGCGAAATATAATTCTGCACAACCACAAGAGCGTCGGTTATGTAGTAGATACATTTAATTATATCTGATTTTCTTGGGAATGCTGCGGTTCACTAGCGTTTGTTCACGTCAGCAAAATTTTATTTAATAAACATTGCCTAACAAAATGTCCCCAAAAGGGCAGAGTATACTGTACTTAGAAACAAGTAATGAAACATTTGAAGAATTAGAGTCTTGATGTGTAAGGTTAGCCCAGCCCTCTGCTTCGCAAAACTTCGTAAACCAACTGGCAGTATAAGCATTAATCGAAGAAGTCAGAGTCAATATTTATGGTAAACAATGTAGGCCTTCTCCGAGAACGTGATCATAGACAAAGATCGAGCACTACCAAGTCATTACGAGAGTTTAAGAGTCAAAATTAGCTGTTATAATTAACAAACCGGGCACCATGGAAAGAATTATTGGTAGGACCTGCACTTATAAGAACTGGAGTAACATCTGAAACCTACTAGAATAGTCAAATTGAAAGATTCCTGAAGCTTTGGGTAACTGATGACTCGGTTCAGTGAAGCACTTCAACAATGTCGAATGATTAGAAGAGCTACTGAGCCGTTAAGAGCATGTCTTCGCCTTCTCAGGTGAAGATTTCGGTAGGACCAATTTAACACGACTGTATCAACATCCGAACAACAAAAACCATCAACCAGCTACAAGTAAGAGGAAATATAACCTTATAAAGGGCATTCTTAAGCAAGGAAATATCTCAAGATTCTTAGAATTCCCCTATAGTGCTGGCACGCAAGATGATTCCACGAGATTTTGAATAGACTGCAGGAAGATGAACAATGTAAAGCAGAAGGACACTACCCATTACCGCGGATCGACGACACACTAAATTGTCCAGCTGCATTTACATTATTTTCTACTCTACATTTGAAAAGTAGAACCTAGTAGGCGGAAGTACATACGCAGAATATGGAGAATACTGCGTTCACAACTATAAATGGCTTATGGCTGTTCAGTGTGATGCCTTTTGAATTGTTCACTACACTAAGTTTTCAAAAGATTAATAGACACTATATTACATGAACTAAACTGGAAAATTTTACTTAGACATTAATACTATGGGAAAAACTTAAAAAAATTGGCAGCCGAAAACTAAAGCCCGGTCCCAAGAAATGCATCCTGTTTGGGAAAAAAATGAATTAACTACAACAAGTTAAAAACGCCGAAGGAAATTAAGACCGACCACAACAAAACAAATCCCGTACGAAATTGACCTATACCAAAAAATCAGCACCAATCAACCACTATACATCATCTCTGATTGGTATTCTGGAATATTTGAAAGGTAACATCTGGAGGCACTGAAGAATGCAATCTAGTGATAGCGTCACAATGTAGGTGCACAAAAAGTACCCCAGTTAATGAGCCGTCAATGATACACTCGCCAAGTTGGCGGCAGTGTTATCTTATCGCGCTCCGCAAACTTCAAGTAACCTTCACGGCAGCTGGTACGCACACAGGTCAAATGCACGTGATGAAGATCAATAGTGGTCTGCACTCCGTAGTTATCGTTCGATTGGAAAAATTCTATTATCACAAAATACAAAAATAAGTATATTTTGAAGATACCATGCAAAAAATAAAGTATTCGCATGCAAAATATGCAGACATGGTGGTCACACAGAAAGTGTAGTACCGCAGCGAGTGCGTGAAGACCAGTAAAGATAACAGATCGGTACTGACGAAATCATTTTGCGATTAATGAGTATTCGAGTCATTGCACGGTAAACAGAGATTCCGCGTGATACGGTACAGATTTATTATTTATTATAGATTACCGAAATTCACTATACCTATGACGTATTCGACAAACCACACCTACCAGGATATACCTATGTTGCTTTTGCAAATTTTACCGTTATGAAAACTGTCGTCGTATGAAATTACCGATGCATTCCCTACTTGCCCGTCTTCGCGTACGGAACTCCACCATCGTAACTAGCGATGCTGCGTTACAGAATTACGCAAGGAAATCCTGATTGGGGCTTTCGGTAAGACTATTACACTCATGTTTATGTCAATGATGCAAAATGGTTCTTTTTTTCATGTACCTTCTCCCTCAATTTTCCGGAGAACTGATATACTGTATAAACTTACATTTGAATTTCATCGTTAATGCCAACACTAATACTGTGGTATGTTATCCCAGGTACAAGACGATAAGAAGACCTAGGGACCTTCAGACCCTTGAAGATTCACAGGCTATGGAACCACGGTTAAAACCCTCAAACATTTCAATAAGCAGTGACTTCAAGAATACGAGTTCGATATCACGTATTAGCCAGGTAAACAACACGGTAACGCAGATGCACTATACCGGAGATCTTGTGTGGAAAACTGCAAACATTGTTCATGTGCGAAGAAGAACGGACTATCAGCCTTTTGTTGCTATTTAACTACCGTCCAGCCTGAAATCCTAGGAAAATAAATTAATCGAGGACCAAAGGAAGCACGAATATTTTGGCCCATTGCTCCGGCGGTCGCCACTCAGTCCTAAGCGACGATGGTCTTACACAGCTATCTTCTACGACTTTTACATTTTCTTCTAGTAGATAAAAAATTTTAATAGAGTTAATATAGCTCCATTTGTATATTTTGAGAAGTTCATTGCTTTTATTTCTAGTTTTACTTGTGCTGTTTCTGTAACGTTCACTTAAATTGCCATTATGGGACCAGAGACCCAAAAGTAACAATAGGGGATTAAAAATAAGTTTTAAAAGTTTGGTCTAGTAGACATCCTCAAGGCACAAAATACAACAAAAGTCTTATTTTACAATTCAATGACAATTAAGCACGCAAATCGTCTTTTATGAAGATAAAATTTACGATTTGAACCTGCAATTTGAATACCGGCGGCCTGTATCTATAGGGCTGTTCGGAAAGTCATTTCGTTTTTTTTTGTGGAAATGAAAGACAGTTTTCGTATTATAAACAAATATTATATTAAATTATATATTGACCGTTCTGGTCCAACA